CGCCTGAGCAGCCGCGTCCTGATCCTGTTCCTCCTCCTCAGCCTCAGTATCAAAGGCCTCGGAGAGATGGTGCTGGGAGAAATCCCGCTAGGAACAGAGACAATGTTTACGGAGATGAACCTCCAGCTTCGATTGACCAACGCACAGATACCCAAGGGAATCAGCGTCATGAAGCAGAAGTTTTGATGATGGCGCGCGCTGTTGCGGAAGCAAACCATGGTGTACCTCAGAGTCATTCTGAAGCCATGAAGTCTCCTGACAAACACAAATGGCACGGTGCGGAGAAGTCTGAGTACGACTCTCTGATCGAGAACAAGACATGGATTCTGGTTCCGCGACCTAAGAACAGAAAGGTCATTAAGAATCGTTGGGTTTATACGATCAAGCACGATGGTCGTTATAAGGCTCGTGTAGTAGCCAAGGGTTTCACCCAAGTTTGGGGTCAGGATTACCACGAGACCTTCTCCCCGGTTGCACGATTTGAGTCGGTGCGATACTTGCTAGCGCACGCAGCCCTTGAGGATTGGGAGATTGAGTCGATGGACGTCAAGACGGCGTTTCTCAACAGTGATCTTGATGAGGAGATCTACATGGAACAACCTGAAGGCTGGGTTGTACCAGGCAAGGAGGACCACGTTTGTCTTCTCTTGAAGGCAATTTATGGACTTAAGCAGGCTTCACGCCAATGGAATGCTAAGATCCATACGTCTCTCCTAGGGCTTGGTTTTACGCGCACCTATTCGGATGCAGGTGTATACGTTTATACCCGTGAATCTGGAGATCACACTTGTGTCGTCATTCTATATGTCGATGACTTGTTGCTCTTGGGCGACTCTAAGCCCTTCATTGACTCGGTCAAAGAGCGCTTGTCGCGTGAATACCAGATGACGGATTTAGGAGCAGTCCAACGTTTCCTAGGTCTTAGAATACGTCGAGAGCGTTCTACGCGCAAGCTCTTCGTGGACCAGGAAGACTATTTGGAGACTGTCCTAGAACGTTTTGGCATGAGCAACTGCAAAGAAGCTCGTACACCGTTGCCAGCAGGCGCAAACTTGCTGAGCAGTACTGAGACTGCTACCGAAGAGTTTAGGACGAAGTACCAGAGCATTATTGGCAGTATCATGTACGCCATGCTAGGTACTAGGCCAGACATCGCTTTTGCGGTCACGCGATTGGCCAAGTTTTCTTCAAACCCATCTAAGGAGCATATGCGTTTGGCTTTCTACGTTCTGCGCTACTTGCAAGGAACGAAGCGTTTTGCACTCTGTTATGATGGCGGCAGTAACTCTGGTCTGATTGCCTACTCAGACTCAGATTGGGCCGAAGACCGCGACGATAGGCATTCGACAAGCGGCTTCATCTTCATGATGGCCAATTGTGTCATTTCCTGGGCGTCAAGACGTCAGCCGACTGTTTCTCTGTCTTCTACTGAAGCAGAATACAAGGCCGCCTCAGACACTTGTCGTCAGATGGCTTGGCTTCGTCATTTTGGCAAGGAGCTTGGAGACAACATGTCAAGTCCTACTCCTCTATGTCTAGACAACCAAGGAAGTATCTTCCTTTCGGTGAATCCTGTTGTGGACCGCCGAACCAAGCACATAGAGATCAGATATCACTATATACGCGAATTTTATGAGCGTGGTGAAACTGAAATCTATTTCGTCGCGAGCGAAGACCAGCTTGCAGACTGTTTGACCAAGAACGTTCCTCTCAAAGCTATTGAGAAGTTCAGGTCGTCTTCTGGCATGCTTGTAGCATCTTGAACAAGTGGGAGTGTTGAACTTCAACTGTTTTAGGTGTTATCACACGGGATAGGACTTATCCTTACCCGTTATGGACTTATGTTCTACTATGCTACATATTACGTACATTCTTTTCGGATTTGATCCAGACCTGTAGCACATGATTAGATCTAGACCCTGATGGAACATTCCACCGCTTTCCATCATGTTCCAGCACATTCCTTGATTGCATCGTATTGCATCATTGAGCACATCGCTGTTCCAGTCCTTTCCATGACATTCCATTCATGGTGCAATATCGCCTCATCCTTGTGTATTCGCTCATTGCACCATATCGCTCCGTTATGACTCTACGCTGTTACGCTTACTGTACGATCATGTGATGGCTCTCTCATGTGTATATATACCGGGCTGGATGCGCCCTAGAATGTAACGGTCTCTCCTCTCGTCTTAACGCCTCTGAGTCTTCCCTCTCAGCTCTTAAGAGATCTGTTGTAAGTCCTCCTTTACTACAGTGCTCTTTGTGCTCCTGTAGTATTCTTTTGTAGCCTTGCCTCAGGCTAGCCACACCACTCCTTGTTCATCAGTACCTTCAAGTCCTGACAGCCTGCTGATGTCACCTGGCTTACATTACAGCTCGCAGATTGGCGGACATTCCGCAGGCAGTGCGATGTCGTCTGCGTTGGGATCCTGCACGGCCTGGCAACGGCTTCACCTGCACGTCACGCACGGGGAGCTCTACCCGCAGGGCGCGCTGCGAACGGGTCGGCTGGCAGTTGGCGAGGGCGGGCCGGTGTGGGGGACCACAAGACCGGGCGGATTTCGTGAGACAGGGAGTGTTGTAGTATGTAGAGGACACTTCAGGTCTCATCGTGTGTAGGATGGGCTGCACACCACATGGGCGCCAACATTCACGCACATACTTCGTGCATGCAAGCCTGCTGCGTATCACTACGACACTGCTACGCTAACTACGCTCCGCCCTCCACTCGCAGCCGCAGTCCTTGACACGACTACACACAAATGTGTCCCTTTTGCGCCATCAGCGCGCTCTCGCTGGGCACTTCAACTAAACCGCCTGATGTGGCGCGCTGATGAAACTTCGCCGCGCAGCTCCCCACACTCTCCCTCGTGTGTGCGGGCAACTTGAAGCATGCACCCACGTCGGACACCAGTGCAACTCACAGCCAATCCGTGCACTCGACGAGTGGAACGACCCAGCAATACAGCCAGGTATGTATTGAGTTGACGGATATGGGAGCATGCGCTGGCACCGCTTTCCTCCTCTGCGCGGCTGCCCGCACTCTCGTTGCACAGCCTCGAAGCTTGCTCGACGCCGCGCTGGCAAACCTTTTGCCACCACCGACGCCCCGCGGCGATTGTCGATATGTCCGGTGGACTGTGGCGATGGGTCGAGCCCTGAGTAGTTTGTAGGGCCGGCGGTGATCTTTCGCGGTCGTGGAATGAGACATGCCAGTGGGAGGGCCACATGCAGCCTCGGCGAGTGCATTGCAACCAATGACCCGGCTTTCCGCCCTCTGCGCAGTGTGCATAGTACATGACCGCGCCGAGAGCTTTGCGACACTCACGTTGACGATCCAAGTCGACGTGTCCTGTCCAATCTTGCTCGGTAAGTGTATTTCGACTGCTGCTGATGTAGAACTCACCCCTGGCGTCCACACACCAGCTGACGCCCAAGAGCCACAAACAGACGGTGGGGCAGTACTCGCGCAGTAGGTGCAAGTATCCGTAGACGCAGTGCCGGCGAGCCTTCTGTGATCACTCACGGATCTGGCCTGCGTACACCACGTGCCTGCTCGACCGAGAAGTGGTATGTCGGTTGATCTGGTGGACAGCGGCAACGGCAGCTGAGCCAAGCCGCGGGTGGTGTGTAGGGCCAATCCTACTGGCGGGCTGAAGCCACCAAGTGCAGCCTCAGGCTCGGCAGGTGAATTGCAAACACCCACCTGCGGTGTCGGTGCCTGACCTCTACACAGTCAATGACTGGGCTGAGAGCTTTTTGAGGCTGAATGTGTCCTGTCAAGTATTGATCGGTAAGTCAATCTCGATCACTGCTGCAGTAGAACTCACCTCATCGTCGAACAGCAGGAACACCCGACTCAATCAGGTGTTCGCACTAGCTGACGCTCGGCCTGAGACTTGGGTGCGGACTCGCAAGAACGTCTGCTTGCCCATGGAGTGTGCTGTCTGCATCGTGAATACTGGGGCACCAGACTGATGTGTGCATGTCCAGAGATGTGACCATGCTCTGCGCAGCGTGCAATCGTCTCGAGGACTGTGCTTGCCAGCCTAGACGTGGACTGGGTTGTGAAAGGCAGGGTATCTTAGTGCTGTCCACCTGCGCACAGATCTGTCGCACACCGCACCTTGCCAGGGCTGCGTACCGTGCAGTTGCAGGTATAGATCGCAGCGTGGAAGCGCACGCGGCGTAGGCAGAGTGTTGCTGCCGGAGGGTTCAAACCTCATGACCAGACTTCGAGGGGTGCCTCGACAGCTACGCAGCGGGCAGTAGTATCACCGTGGCCGTGGCAGCGAGGCTCTGAGACATCGCGCCCGTGAGGGTGCGGTTGCGTTGAGCGTTGGTTGCAACATGATGAGGGCTGATACACGCCATCCGTGCCTGCCACGTTGTTCGTCGCCGCATCTGGGTCGTGTTTGCGCCATTGCCTGCAGATGCAACCAGGGATGGTGCAGCACGTCAACAGCCAGTTGGACTGAATCTTGTCCGTGCGAGTTGAGTGTGAGTTCGAATGCTCAACAGGTGTTCCCTCTGTGAACCTAACATATGCATAGCCTTGTATTGGTATTGAGCCAGCAACATGTACTACATAAGCTACTCCATTAAGTCCCCCTCTCCCGCTCCTGCAAACGATATGACTGAGTGACCTTGGGCATCCAGCTCCCGTTTCATATCAGCTATGCGCTTTGAGAATGCAAATGTGATAGCATGATTCATGGCACCACATGAAGGGGTTGTCCCATGGAGGGAATCTGGCTTGAATATCATCAGAGTCCCTTTGGCCTGCTTGACAACAACCTTGAGGGCTGTGTCCACGAAATTAGCACCACCATCAGGCAATGATTTTGGCACCTTGCTGATGGTGCGCGCTACACAGAATGAGAATGCCCATTTGGCATATGCAGGGTCCTTATGAGACCAGCTGGAATGACAATTCACTGAGTGTGTTTATGAGCTGATTGGTTGAATTGAACTCACGCAGCATATCCACGGGATATTTAGGCTTCAGGGGGAGACCTTCTAGCAGTTGACAGCTTGTAATCATTACCGTCAGCCTTTGATTGTAAAGCCTTGGCCTAGACACACAGCCAGTCAGCAACACATTAAGTCAAAGCTAACTTGAAATATACCCTCTGCAACATCACGTGTTGCCATGTCTGGCATCCCTTCATTCTGGAGACATTGTTCAACATGTTCCATGATCTCGCGTGGTGCAGCCGACTTGATGAGGCTCCATACGATGCCCGTGGCTCCGACGATGTCGGTATCATGCTGCTGCCGGTTGTCCTGGCTGAGCACCTTGGTGTAGCTTTTGGCCCATCCTAGCACACGGGCGTGACGGGGGCCCCCGTTCAAGCCCACCTGGACCATCTTCCCAGGGTGCTTTGGCTGTATATTAGCCTGCTGTGTGAGAAACAACCTGATAGAATAAAGAATATATAAAGACATACACGGGTATCACGCCTCTCACTACAGGCAGTCTCTGCAATGTCAAACAGCCACTGGTATAAGGCCCCAGAGATGGGGGCATCCATGGCTATATTGCAGATGACTACCAACTCAATTTCAGGCAGACCTTCACCTGGCAATTGTTAACAGATCAAAAACAATTCAAGTGCCACTCACCTGAGGCTGGTGACAAGAAAAAAACAGATTTATCAGGCGGTACAACATAATAGCCTGTAGACTCCTTGACAAGCACATGTTCTTTGTGCTTGTGTTCTGACATCCATTGATAGCGGGTCATCTGTGTAGGCCCACGGCTGTGGATGACCATAGGGAGGGCATGACCAGCCATCAAGTCAGAGATTGAGGGCCCATTACTGTTAAGCCCAAGCATGGTGATCTGAAAAAGTGAGAGCACTTAGCATGTACACTCCAATGAACTCTGTAAGACCTATGATGTCTCACCAGAGTCTGTTTCTGCCAGTGAGATGCGGTCCCTTGGGACATATATACCTGGCGCTTGCTCTGTAGCTCTCTAAACAGAGCCAGGTAGCTGTCATGTCCTTGCTCTTGCTCTTTGGACAGCAATTGAATTGCATGGTTGATGACATGATCTATGATCTATTGGACAATTGAATCAAATTTACACCATGTAGATAAGCAGAGGACTCACTTCAGTCCGGTTACTAGACTTCTGTTCCAGGGACGGACGATACCCTATGACCTTGTCCACAAGGTTCTGTAGGACAGGCGACTCGTCATCCGTATTGTGAGGCTCTAAGTTGCTGAGCTGCTGCAGAACCTCTTCAGAGGTGAGATACTGCAGTACCATCACTGAAAAGACAAGTTCAGTATGTACAGGCTCATAGATGCCAGGAGCTACGTTACTGTTGTTATTCCTTGAATCAGCATTGTTCTTAGCCCGGGGCATTGTAGTGATGACTTTGGACAGCAGAGTGAGCTGTGATCAAGCTGCGATTGAAGTTGAGCGACACGCGCAAGCCTGTTTAGCGCCCGATCTTGCTTTCCCACCCAATTGACGACCCCGCCTGAGGAGTGGCATGCCCAGCATTGAATATTGAATATTGAAGGGCGGGCTGGACGCGGATACAACATATTATGCACCAATATCCGTGGGTATGACCATTGACAAGGCCACTGGCCCATTACGACGGTGTACAAGCTCGGCGCATGACAGGTACAACAAGCCTGGACGAGCCCAGTGACGCTCGCTGTGAGCCGCCCATTCCACCCCTTCCAGTGGCCAGCCCCATCCTTTCCCCGACACTGCCATCAAGGCGCCAATCCTCAATGCTGAGGCACGCGTCGAATGCGCAGAGGTCGCCCGCGACGATGCAGAGGCACGTCGAACACGTCATCCAGGACACCTAGACAGAGCTCAGCCACCACCTCCAATTCAACACCATCGAGGTCCGTGCCACCGACGCCCGCATGTCCTTCTCTTGCATAGCTGCGGACGGCGATGGCCAGCTTGTCCTCGTCCTCGTGCATGCCACAGGCTACTCGTCTGGCTATCTGTTCTCCCAGCCACCCCACCAACACATCCTACCCCAACGAAGTCACTGCCTCCTCGCACCAATTCGAGCAGCCACCGCCTGCCCTTTCCCTCTCTTCTCCCACCTCCCCTCCCCAATGCTACTAGCTGCGTGAGGCCATGTTCCGGCAGTCTCGAAGGTTACCACGCTGGCCTCGGAGCTCCAGTGGTTACGTGATAATGACCGCCAGGAATTCAAGAATGCCGAGGTAGAGCTTGGGGAGTAACTCACGAAGCTTGACTGCAACTGGACTGTGTACATGGTTTGTTTGTCCTTGAGACTACATTCCCACTAACTGGTTTGTGCAGGAGACTGGTACGTCTAGCCTACTTCTTATCAAACTCACACGACTGACAGATCTGGTTGATTCCACAGCATGAGGTGCTGCAGAACGAGTGCAAGCGACTCGCTGAGTCGCTCCGGGAGAGCGAGCGTAAACACCAAAATCGTCTCCCGGTGCCTCACCACTACGACATCAGCAGCCGCCGGAGTCCTCAGACCTCTCCTCCGCAAGAGGACATGGTCATCGTGCACGAGAGGGCCCACGAGCAAGTGGAGCTGCCCAACTCACTCAAGATCGATATGTGCGGGAAGGAGAACATCTTCCACATCTCCCCTGTTGCGCAGACACAGCCAATTGCGCCGCTCACATCGGAGATCTCCCGTGCGCTCAGCGACAACATCCCCAACAGTGAGGACGAGGGTGTGCGCAACTGCAGCGCGAAGGCAATCCCCATTAAGAATGGCTTGCACCGCACTGTCTTGTTGCGCCTCAGGTACGAGGACCCGATGGTGCGCTCTCCAGTTGCCCATCAGCCGCAAATACCTCGCCATGCCACACTCCGAGCCGCAAGCAACGGGGTCGGCGCATGGCCCATGTGCGATTCGCGGGCGCCACGACATGTGCTTTTAGCGCCACCGCCACCGTCGCGCGCCCCACCTGCCACTCGCTGTCGTGCGTGCGCACTCGCCGTTGTGCACGCACCCTTGCTGCCATTCAATGCCCCCGCCGCGCGCTGGCGCCCATGCAGGTGTCCGCACGAGCGCCACGCGATTCCATCACGTGCCAAGCCGCGTCGCCCACGATTGCACCGGGTCGCCCGCCATCGTGCGCGACAACGTCGCCCCAGCACGGCGCGTTCACGCAAAGCAGCCCCGATGGGGCATTGCACCGACGCACCCATGCGCCTCCGGTACGCGCTACTAGCCCACCACGTTGCGTCGCGCACTGCATGTGAGCCGTTAGCACCTGCGCAGTCCTCTGCGTGGGCACTCCCTGCATCGCGCCTCTGCCCGTCACGCCGCTCGCACCCGCCCGTCGCCCGCCACGCACCGTCGCCCGCGCGCGTCGCCTTACACACAGCCTCCCACACGTGCCGTCATCCAATCCGCTCAATCGCCCGCCATGGCCCTGACGTCACCCCTTACGTGCAAGTGTGTTCTCGAGCCCTCCCTCCGCCTCCTTCATCGCGCCCTCCCAGATGCCATGCTTCTTCGCCTTGCCCAGCTTCTCCTTGCGCACGTCCATGTGCGCCGCATTGATGCCCGGTTTGCCCTCCGTGCGTGCCTGCGCCTCCTTAAGTGCGAGCACCATGAGCTCGATGAGGGCTACAAGGACGACCTATCATCAGCGTCCACTGATGCTGAGGGTTCGCTCGATGATGCCCCCCACACCTCCCCTGAGCCGGAACGGGCGGGCGAGGCGGAAGCTGGAGGAGAAGTGGATGTGGATGGCGAGGCTGGACAAGAGCATGAGCAGGGCGAGCGCCCGTATGCATTCCGGAAGCGCAACCACGTCAACTACGCTATTCCTCCACCTCTGGAGGGAATGTGAGCTGATGGGTCTTTCGGATTGCCCGCCATCACCAGCCACCCGCGACAGCCCATCCATCCTCCTGCTATCGCAGCACCCTCAACGAGCACAGCTCCGGCCCTGATTGCTCTCTACACCACTCGGGTACCCTCCCTGTCAACCACTCCTACCTGCATTTGCAATCCCTGCGACACATCGGTCTCGGCTCATTCATGATGTCGCCGTACTCATGCCATGAGAGAGACCACGAAAGCGGATCGTGAGGAAGCAAGGACGCAACCAATGTTGTCGCTGTCCGGCCAATTGGGATCTCAATGATTGCCTCCGACACTGCCGTACATCGCCACGCTGCCCGGGGCATCTGTCGGCGATGACGACAATGCTTAGGAGACGGAGTGAGACCGTGTCTCGTGTCCCAAGGGTTCAGACTGTGTGCAGAGCCTCGCTGGACGGGTGCCGCAGAGCAACCACCATCTAACAGACAGCAGTAGCTTGCTGAGCAATGGCACGCCGCCTCTATGCTGTCATGAACAGTGTCCGCCAGCACATTCATGAGCGGACCATACCCGTTCCTAACGGTACACCCGGGCTGCATATTCCCCGTCGTCAACGGAAACCTGATGGCGGCCGGCGTAACGGGTTTTGACGGCATCAGCCTGTCGGCCGACGTCTAGCCGGATTCATTGGAAATGCACCGGCCGACGGAGACGACAATGTCGCAGACCCACACATAACCACAGCCAGTGTCGCCCCATATTTGTTCGTCAACGGGCCGGTGATGTGGCCCAATATTGTCAATGCACCGGCCGGTGAAGTGTCCCAACGTTGCTAATGCACCGGCCGGTCCTGACGCATGTGTATACAAATCACACCGGGCCCTCGGAACATGCATGTCATACTATCATTTCCCTATAAATGATTGCGACTTTTACCACGTTCCGGCCGGTGATGGCAACCTGACTAACACAACATGTCGGCCGGCGAGACGCATCAAGGTCCTAAATCATCCGGTGGGCGGAAGCCTTGTACATGTAGAGCACTTTGACCACTGACCACCATATATAGTTGCATAACCATCGGCCGCTCGGAAGACCCATGTGTCATTCAAGCAAGGGCCGATCATTGAAATGACCATCGAATTATCATCGGCTGATGGTGCCAAGTGCCGTTGAGCAAGTGAGTCCGGCACGTAATCACCGAAGCGGCCACCCCGTGTGTAACCAACCGGCCGGGCATGTTACCCTCCCATAAGTTACCGACTGACCAAACGTGAGTGAACCCAATGAGAACCGCTCGGCCGGGCTTTACCAAGTGGTTTGTTATGGCGCTGAATGCCAAGCAGCCGGCCGGCCATGCATGTAACGGGGCGGCCGCCCATTCTCGCAAACAACAGACCGGCCGACTAGTGTGACAGCACCATGATAGACCTGTTATCATCCTGTATTTGGGACAATATCAAGGACTAGGCTCAGAAGCTATTATAGCCAAACCTCCAGTATCAACATGGAAATTCACAGATGGAACAATACTCAGGCAATGAAGATATGAGCATTGAATACATATGGATCAGCACACGGTAAGCTCAGTCACGTTTCACAAAACATTGTGAAGGATTATTGGCAAACGTGAGTGCAACAATATACACAATGAACATCATCAGAAAACTTGGACCCAATTGAAATGACCGCAATCATATCCATCACTACTATGGCTGCAACTATTTAAGAATTTTCTATTTAAGAATATAGATATACCACCTATATGGTATACAGTATACTGTATGATGTATGTATACATATGATAGTTCTTTCAATCTGAAGGCATTAACCAGTTCAAACAATGTAATTCCACTCCCTAGTTGTTGGCATAGACACACATATTCTATGAACACAGGCTGATATTGAAGATAAGTTGTGAGTACCATATCATTCCATGGTCTCCTCATTTTCAGCAGATATTTTCCATAAGAGATCATTATACTCTATAGCAGTCTCACTTATCCCGTTCTCACAACTTTGCCAATAGAGCACCTAGACCCTACATAGCCTGGATGTAATACATCTAAATACAGGCTACATGGACAGATATAGAGTCAAGTGTAATATATGTGCATCACATGTATCAAATGCTGGAGTTTTGATCACTGCTGAGGTGCCTGAGGCCACTCAGCGCAATTGTAATATGCCAGAACCCAGCCTACTGTTCTTGCATTGAGGGCATTGGAACGTCCCAGCTGCTCCAAGGATTTGATCCGGGATTCCAGTATCGTCCGCTGATGAAGAAGATCCGAAAAAGCCGTAGGAGCTTGGCCACTGTAAGACGGTCCGATTACTGTAATAACAATGAAATGCCATGAGTCGGCGCAAGCACAAGAGAAAGAAAAATGGCATACCAGTGCGAGGCCATTGGAGAGGCTTCCCACTGTCCCTGGTCCAGAGATTGTGAAAGGGATCCAGGGGAGCGGTGGCCTCAGCTGGAGATGTGTACATCCTGCCCGTCGGTGCAGACTCCATGCTCGAGACAACACGGTCTGCTAAATCTGCAGAGATGACCAAATGTAAATGAACATGGTGCGCCCACTGTAACACGATCTAGGCTACACGCGACAGCATTGCACAGAACTCAGGTTTGGACTCCAAGCACTGGCCAACCCTCGGCGCCGCAGAGTGGCCAACCCTTGGCACCGCGCACTGACCAACTCTCGGCGCCGCAGAATGGCCAACCCTCGGCGCCGCACACTGACCAACGCGCGGCACCGCAAAGTGGCCAACCCTCGGCGCCGCACACTGACCAACGCGCGGCGCCGCAAAGTGGCCAGCCCTCGGCGCCGCACACTGACCAACGTGCGGTGCCGCAGAGTGGCCACCCCTCGGCGCCGAGGGCTGGCGAGTGTTCGGCGGCGAACCAAGGACCTGGGTCATGGGTGGAGACGGTAACATAGCTTCACAAACTTACCGTGCTGTAAGATATGAAAGTGATTTGCTGCGATCCCATCTTCAGGAATGGCGCTTGAGTGATTCGGTGACAATGTGATGTCTTCAGGCTGGAACATATGAGCTCAGGACACCGAATCAAAGCACATGTCACTCACTTTTGCGACCAGTCCACCGCCCCCCACCAATGGCTCCCAGTCATCTGGCGCCAGTGCCAGCGGGGCCCCCGCAGGTATGAGGTCCTCGGGCAGCTCGCCTTCCTGAAACAGGTAAGGCAACCTGGTCCAGTTCTGCTGGCCCTCGGAGACTATAACCTGCTGAAGGGGAGGTTACACACTGTCCGGGAAGTGAGGAATGCGATCGGTGCTTTCGTCAGAAGTGCTACTGCAGGATATCATTTCAGGGGATGGTTCGAACAGCAATCCAGTCTCGCCGAAAGCTGTCCTGTCAGGCTCTGAGTCCGATATAATGATTGGAGAGGGGGCCCGGGACCCATGCCGTGGCTTCCGATAAACGAGCTTGTTCATTGGGGACTCGATGACCTCAATGTCAGAATCACCGGATGGATCCGCTTCGGTGCAGAGTGTTTCCGACAAGGAGAAACTGTTGTTGTCGGCCGGTCCTGTGCTCGGGGAACCCATGGTGACATCCTCTTCGATTGCCTTAGCTTTTGGTGGACTGGGAGCTGGTGTGCTGGTTTCGGCAGATATGATCCGATCCGCCGGGACCTTGACAAGCTGGGATATCGCGGGAATAATGGGTGAGGCCGAAGAAGGGGGGGTAGGATGCTCGGGTTCGGCCGGAATCTGGGGCGGATCATGTCCGGTTCCATCCCTCGTAATGCATTGTGTCTATGGCCATGTTAAAAAGAAATGCATACCTCGGCAGGCGGCAAACTGCTTACCTGTCGCTGCCCGGGTGCATGTACCAATGGCATCGTGAATTCACGGGGGTTCCATTTCCGACTGGTCACTTTGTGCTCAGTCAGAGCAGCCAAGGCCAGGTCATGCTTGAACAATCGGTCCGCATTTAATATGTAAGTCATGTTTCCACGATGCATGTCACATACCTGACTAGACAATAGCTCAGCCTGTTTACCTTCCCTATCCTCCGGATTTTTACGTCCAGCTGTGTCCGCGTCCGGACTGAAATGGACATGACCGGATGGGCGGCCCCTTGGCTTGACCGCTTCCCGGGCCTTCAAATGTACCGCACCGACAAATGGACAGGTCAACAGGTTGGTCGCAAGTTACCGGAGGACATGCGCACCATTAAATCTAAATGGGATGCTACATCCACGCCTTGCTCGGAGTCTGGATGCGCCAATGACTGCACGACAACGGTCAGTGTCTATAGATGGTAAGAGAAGTGTAATGGTACCTTCGCCGGCGCTTCTGTTCCCGGCGCGACCGAGGGTAGGCGGAACTTGTGACCCCTTGTACAGGGACGTTCGCCGCCGGGAATCGAACTCCCCACATTGTCAGCTACGGGGATGGCAACATGTGAGATCCACAGACGGGTAGCTGTAGTAGAACACTCCACTTACGTTGACACGTCATGACATTAGACTTTAGAGATTAAGGTTCGAGGAAGAACCGCGGCGATAGCGACGTCGCAAGCGCCAGCAATGATCGCCGGGGGTTCGGCTCCCGCGCACGCTCCGTTGGGTCACATGCTCTGTCGCGTCGCGTAACGGGCGGCGCGCACAACATCAACGTCTTCGGTCCCCAACACCACAAGTCTCCTCGCAAACTTCTGCTGCCCAGCTCACCTCACCTCAGGCCTGCTTCAAATGTCTTCCGCCGCTGCCACGTCACGCTCGCCGACCCGCCAAGGAGGAGACGCCGGCTCAGACGACGAAGATGCGCGCGAGTTCGTTCCGGTCAAGTGGACGGATATGCCGGAGTACATCACAACAGTCGAGCAGGAGATAGTTGGCTTAATGGGAGGGCCTTCTGTGACAGAGGAGCAGGATAAAAAAATCGACGACAAAACGCGGGTGAGTGACTCAGTGTACAATTGCGTCCGCCGCTAACACCCATGGTATCCAGGACCAATTCAGAGTCAAAGTGGTGAGTGATCCGCTTTTAACATGGTATCTTTACTTCATATTGTACAGGGTTTGTTTGGGCATAACATCGTCCACCACTTCACGGAGGGCCGGTACTTTGCGGTGTCCCGGTTCCTTGCATCAGCCTTGACTGAGCTAGCCCACGCCAACCAACACGGCATTCCGATCGAATTCTCCTGGGTTTCTGAAATTGACGAGCGCATTGCGCACCACTGGCTTCTTTTCCCCCCTAATCACCCGCGGCACCACTTCCACCTCCAGATGCGCGAGCACCAGGAAGCAGCGGAGAAGAGAGCAACAGCCAAGCGCGGTGCGAAGATCCTCGAGGAGAGCGAAGCGCGGAAGGAGGCTACCCGGGCTGCCCAGGAAAAGAAGACTGGCCTCAAGGGTCCGAAAGGTGCGCCGCCTGGAAAGCGGTTCAGGGAGCTCGACGGTGACTCCAACGAGGAGGATGGCGGTGAGGTGGATCAGCTGGATGACGACCACGACGAGGAGATGGTGAGGAAGACGCTGCAGCTGAAGAAGGGGAAGGGTAAGGCGCGCGAGGTCCCACCAACGCCACCAGCCAACGAAGATGAAGGTCCGAGTGGAGGGAACCCTGCGGCGATTCAGGAAGGTGGCCAGGATGTGGACAACGAGGAGGAGGAGGAGCAGGAGGAGCAGGAGGAGCAGGAGGAAGGTAAGAAACTTTGATCATTTAGCACGTATGGAGCGTCTGACAATGCTTGCTTAGGAAAATCGAAGGGCATTCTGAAGAACAAGCAGAAGCCCATGCCGAAGAAGACGAAGGCAAAGCCTGCACGGGAGGGCTGGGTGATGCCAACAACCCGCGCATCCCGCAGACCGGAGCTCACGAGACCGAGCGTAAGTCCTCAATACACACAGTAGGCAGCTCGCCTGATTTTGCTTGCAGGAGTGGCCGTGCACAGCGTGCAAAGGCAACGTCCGCTGCACCATTTCCACAGTCACGAAGAAGCCCGCCAAGGGCAAGGGAAGGGGCAAGGTCAAGCGGCCCGCCTGCGACTGGTGCTTCTTCAAGAAGCGCAAATGCGTGCCCATTGACCCGGGCGCGCCAGGTCTCGCGGCGGACGATGAAGACAAGGACGACGAGGAGGCGGACGAAGAGGAACAACGTGGACGGCGCCGGGGCAGGTCGCCGCCCGGAGAACGACGCGAACGCAACGAGGGCGGAGCCGCGGGCCCGTCCGGTACTCGCAAAAGCAGCCGCGCGCGCCGCACCCCAAGCCGAGGCCCGGAGACAATCACGAAGCAGCCGGAGCCGTCGCGCGCGCAGTCAAGGTCTCGCGGACCGGCACCTCCCTCCAAGCGAGCACGCTCAAAGTCAGCCTCTCGTGCACCGTCGCCTCCGGCAAAGCGACACCGAGCAAAGTCCAAAACCCCGGGGGCTGCTCCCGAGGATGCGGTGCAGTCGCAGCCGAGCAGTGCAACGCCGAATGTCCAGACGCAGGCCCTTGCTCCCGATATCAGTTAGTGCACTGGTATCTTTCACGTGGTCTTTTGTACTGACACCAGGTGTAGGTCGCTTCTACCCCATTGTGCCCGGGCAAGCAGGACTCGCGAACCCAGTCGCACCGGCCAACCCCGGGGAGCTTGCAGGACAGGTGTCGGAACTCCAACGTTGCAACGGGGCACTGGCGCAACGTCTTGGTGCAGCAGAGCACCGGAGCCTCAGGCTGCACGAGAGGGTCGAGACCTTGGAGGACATCGTGGAGTCGTTAACGTCTTTCCTTGTTGAACTTCCGAGTTTTCAGTGTTCTTATCTTATCAGTTATGTACGGATATGGACTTATGTTCTGCGATGTCAGATTACATACGTTCTTTGATGGACTTTGCCTAGATTACGTCATGTGACTTTAGTCTAGATCATTCCATGATATTCCACGACATTCCTTGATGTTCCATGACGTTCCATATCATTCCTTGATGTCCCATCACGTCTTATATTACTCTTTGATGTTCCATCATGTCTCATATCATTCCTGATGTTCCATCACGTTTCATATATCTCTCCACATCAAACTCCGAGTTTTGGCTTACTCATGCTGCTTACCAGCTTACTCATATCCCCAAAACCTCGGACTTAGTGCTTACTGATGAACCACTGATACAGCATGTGACCTGTATCAAATGTGTATATATACTGGGCTGGTTTGCCCTGTAATGACAACGATCCTTCGGCCTCTCCTCTGCCTGCCAGCATAGGATCTTCCCTTTGGGACTGGTCTGTTCACTCACTCTTTAGTCCTTCACTGCCACTGGGCTTACTAAGCCTAAAACCTCTTTCTTCAACATTCCTGACGATCAATGGTGCGTAGCAAACCGCTCTGCATTTACTTCGGTTCTAACCCTGAACAGGCTTTCATCTTCCACCGGTTCAATACCGCCGACGTCCAGCCGAGGCTCCCAGAGCTTCGGATGGTCAACCTGAGGCAGGACCATCTGGCCTGCCCGCACCGCAGCTCCCCGCGTCAGGACGTCCCGGTCGTGGGCCCTCACCAGTGAGTCGACCTGCAAGCGAAATTGTCACGTGATGTTAACAAGGTATTTTCATTGCAGCCGCGCTCTGGCCTCATCATGCAGCCAGGCAATCAAAGCACTGAGCCACTGACCGACGACCCCACAAATGTCGGGCCGAACGCTGAGGGTGCTTCGACGCGCAACGAGCATGATCACCCTGCCACGACTCTGGCTACTCATGCAGCGTCCGGAAACGATGGTGCGCCACCTGTCGCGGAACCATCGAACATGGATGCTGTTGGAGAGCCGGACACGGACATTGTGATGGCGGGTGCGGAGCAGGATATCATACCGGACTCGCAGGAGGTCCCGGTGCACCCGGAGCAGGAGCCGGCACAGGTGAAGTCCACAGGCAATGGCTCATCTGCGTCTGTGGAGACAGACACTGTCCGCCAGGACGTTGAGATGAAGGATGCACAGGAAGATAGCCAGCATTCACAGGTCCCCGCCGCAGCGCCCACGCCCTCGGAGCACGCCCAGGTGAACTCCAGGGGACAGAGTCCGTCCGAACGTCACAACGAGCAACAGGCTGGGCCGGTCCTTGAGCCGACGCCCGGAGGGAGAGACGTCAATAGACGGTCTCCCTCTCCTCCCGGCCATGCTGATGTGCCAACGTCGGAGCCTCCTCAACTGTTCGAGGGCTCCGTCACGCCTGCACAGCAACTCGACCCTGCGGTACGTATGCCACACATCCACCCACTCACCAACAAATACTCACCACCAATGCAGGGCAAATCATCTGAGAGCGCTGGGGAATTGTCAACAGGCATACCTGCGACGGTCGAGTCCGGGATGAACCCATCCACGCATATCGGTGAGGCAGCGTCAGCGCAGCTTGTGACGGAGCAGTCAAATAAACCGCTCGCAGCCACGCCGAATGGTTCGGAAGACCCCCCACTGAACGTTGCGCAGATGGGATTGCAGCAGGCTGTAGCGGGTGGTGATGGTCGCCAAACGGGTCACTCGGGTGCGCTGGACCCAGGCATGGATACCGCCGGACAGCCAACAGAGAGCCGTAATGTCCGCTTCGCGTAATGTTGTACACAATTGCATGTATAGTAACAGCCAACACGATAACAATGTCACCGTGCTCAGTTTTCAATGGCCTGAGATAGACAGGAATACAGCGCTTAACGTTCTATTAGGCACCGGGTGTCAGGTACTTCCTTGGTGCCCACTGTGTTGACTTGTGTTTCGCGCCGAGGGTTGCTATGTGCCTCGCACCGAATCTTGATTTTCCTTCTGTGCTGACGGTTGGTATGTGCTCGCCGCCGAAGACAATGCACCCCTCGCCGCCGAGGGTTGGCCACTCTGCGGCGCCGAGGATTACAGAGTCTGCGGTGCCGAGGATTACACGTTCTGCGGCGCCGAGGGTTGTTCAGTCTGCGGCGCCGAGGGTTGGTCAGTGTGCGGCGCCGAGGGGTGGCCACTCTGCGGCGCCACGCGTTGGTCAGTGTGCGGCGCCGAGGGTTGGCCACTCTGCGGCGCCGAGCGTTGGTCAGTGCTCGGCGCCGAGGGTTACACAGTCTGCGGTGCCGAGAGTTGGAATGTGCTCGGCGCCGAGATTTACGTAGTCTGCGGCGCCGACGGTTGACCTATCTTCGGCGCCGACTGTCAATATGTGCCCGGGACCCAGAGCTCCCATCCTGTCAGTGCTGAGTGTCTAGTGATCTTCAGGGCAGCGTACGTGCCTGGATTGTGCGCTGAGAGTTGCCACATATGTTGGGAGGGGCGCATTGGTTCATGGTCACCACGTGTGACGGATAGGCATCACTATGCCTGTCCAGTACGATAGATTATGAACCATCTAGTGTAGATAAGATTAGATTGTGCATGTACTTAGCCATCTGCCTTCCTTTTTGGGAAGCAACTGATCTTAACCCACTACTGCCACCTCGTACGCGTGCGAATCACCGCACCGTCCGAGTGTGGAGTCTTGTCTCTAGTCGAGAGTGCTCCTCGCACTCTGACGAACAGTGCGAGCTCCTCGCCGCGCTGAGGAGCACGGCTCCTCGCTGTCTCCTAAACCGGGCGGCTCCTCGCCAGCGTACGACTACAGCCGGCTCCTCGCCTTGCTGACGACAACAGCCGGCTCCTCGCCACGCTGACGACCCTCGACTAGGCTCCTCGCCCGTCTAGGAACTACCCTCGACTGGCTCCTCGCCCCGTCTAGGACTCACCCAACAGCCCTGGCAGCAGTGCACCAAGGTCGCCCCTGGCCTATAGAGCCGTGAAGCCCGTTCACACCCCTGAACAAGGCCTCCCAGTTAGGCCGAGGTCTCACACCACGTGGACCCCACACGTGCAATCATGTGACTGAGGCTGATGGACAAGATGGGCTGGTACAGTTTAGATGCGTTCAGGATCCACTTTCTGGTAAATAGCCACAGTGAGCTGGCTCTTAGTTATTTCCAGTGAAACCCGAGAGCATACCGATTATGAGCACCCCCTCCTCTGCTGTCTTTGTCGAAGCCTACAATCATATATTCCGACCCGAGGTTGACGCGGCGATCCATGAACTAGGTGTTGAACAGTCAAGGGAGGCTGGCGGCGAGAAGCTTGTCACAGCGATGGTGCGCGATACGGTTGTTCATTCAGGTTCACAGTTCACCTACGTCAATCCAGGCGATGTATGCAATGATGTTGGGATTTAGCCAGCTGTGCGATCCTGCTGTTATAATGGAACACGGGATGACAAACACCATGCCTCAATTCTGGGGTATTCTACTGGACAACAGCAACGATCCCCGCAATGCGGTACTGCGGCTGTCAATGCGGGTTCATAGCCTCTCCCTCCGAGATTCAAATGCCGCGGACCTCACACAGCTTCTTGATCGCAATGGGCATTCAGCTCAGGATGTCAATCGTGGCCCATCGACGTCTGGTATGTGGCTCGTGGTTCCGGGCCTCTTACTGACTCAATGGTACTGGGATTAGTGCAATCCACAGCTGTGAGACAGAGTCAATCGGTGTTGTCCCACAGTGAAGACAGCATTCGACTCATGGCCGCCCGGAATGTTGCTGTGAATCAAGCAATTGCCGAGTAGATTAAGGAAGGCGAATTGCAGCTGCAGCGTGTGAAGGAGGAGTTACAAATGCCGCATGCCCGGGTACGTACAATTAGTGGTATCTATCAACCATTCTACTTATTCGATGATTGTGTCAGGAAAATGCTCACGCAGCCGCAACTCTCAAACTGGGACTATTACCGCAAATCCCCGAACCACGATTCATTCATCCCTCCGCCATGCCGCCCCATCTCAACCACGCAATGCTCCTACTTCTAAACCAATTGTTGCAGGCCATGGACGAGTATCTAGATGCGGAGCTAACATTCTGGAAGGGTGCACTGGAGGTGAATGCAACGGAGGTCGACACGTGGTATCGGTCAGCTGCCCAACATCCGGTAGTAACAAATACAGTACACTTCCGCGACATATGGGGCGCCGAGGAGGACAGACGGCGACACGAGGGACCATCTTCGTCAAATGCTCCACCGAACCTCCAAAACAGCTGATATCTGTACGCAATATTGGTACACAACGTGTCCAACTTCTGTAGTACAAGGAATTGCTCCACCTAATGTAACACTCTGAGCCAAACAGTGGACATGCGTGAGATATTCCTTCAGCGCTCAAGACCGCATGTTCAAACCTTCTCAAAAGTACGTATATTTTGACGGGTGAGAGGCGCGATTGTGCGGGAGAATCCTGTTCACCCCCCCTCAACTGCTACACTCCCGGGTGAAAAAGAACTGGAGGAGACCATGTTTTTTGTAAGTTGCAATGTGTAGATCACATTGATTTCCTTCTGATTAGCGGTGACGTGATGCAGCGTGGGAAACGCCGTACACTATCACAACTTAGTGGACTCATCGGGATCCTTCGAGGGGAATTGTCGTGGGTACAATTTGCTTTAAATGCAACCCACATGTGCTGACCAATCGCCGTCATTCATACAGCACCATCATGGTCTCAATTCATAATGCCGATTCGTACTCTCTGGGCTTCCATGTCGCCGACCAGCTGGTCCTGACAATCACGGAAGTCGTACGGGAGGAAACAACCATGTTATCAATGGCTGACCGCTTTGAGAACCTCATGGCGAGGTTTGACGCAGTTGAAGCGAGTATGGAAGGGTGTTTGGCGAATACGGTATAGTGGGGTTTGAGGGACTAGACATTTGTTATGTAACTACGGCGTCCGTTTGAAAATTGCCATAGTATTGCCATACATGGTGTCAACAGTATATTCCCCAACACCGACAATACGGCCTACATGCCGAGCAGAAGCCATCAGATTAGACACACAAACAACACCTTTCACGTACGCCAATTGCCTCATGTCTGTATAAATTGATCCAAGCTGATTACCGGGTGTGCACCCGCCGCATAATGTCACCAGAGGATCGCCGCGCCTGGCAGTACAATCGCGCGAGGTCTCCCAAGCCTTGGCACCAACTGGTC